AAGCATCCCCGTGGCACAGACAAAAACCCTGGCTCCCCTTTTCAATGTGTGGAGATGTCACTGGAATGTGACTGGCCAGACACACTATATTTCCCAGCCCCTCCTCATATACATGTGAGGATCCATTTATGTAACTCATGTAACTGATCCCAACCAATAGCACATAAGCAAAAGGGATGGTGTCCCTGTAGGGCCAAGAAAAGGGTTTGCCTTTTCTGTTCTCTCTCTCCCTTTCTCTCTGGTAGATGAAGACAACCAAGGAGCCAAAAGATGGAAGGAACCTGGATCCCTCAATCACAGCCTGGAGGAGAGTCACCTGTGGACCAGGAACACCCACAAAGGACTGTTACATGAACAAAAAATAAATTTTGATTGTTTGAGCCTCTATGCATTTGGGGGGTCTGTTGGTTCCAGTAACTAGTCTATACTCAGTATTAGAATTCTCTTTCTCTTTTTCTAGAGAGACAGCTAACCTTCTGAGGTGCTCTAACCACACATCTCTTCTCCAAGAACCTTTTTTAAAAAATCCTCACCTGAGGTTATTTTTTCCATTGATTTCTAGAGAGAGTGAAAGGGAAAAAGGAGGGAGGAAGGGGGAGAGAGAGAAACACTGATGTGAGAGAGACACATCAATTGGTTGCCTCCTGCACGAGCCCCAACCAGGACCCCCAACCGGAACTGGGAACCTGCAACCGAGGTATGCGCCCTTGACCAGGAATAGATCCTGCGACCCTTCAGTCCATGGGCCAATGCTCTAACCACTGAGCTGGACCAGCCAGGGCTCCAAGAACCTTTTAAGCCCTTCCAAGGACTGTCCAGAACAGGGTTTCTCTTACCATTCTATCAATATCTGCCAGGTGTTTCTTGAGGCTTTACTGGGAAATAAATAAAGTTAAGATCATAACGTCATCTTCCTCTGAGGTGCCAGCACCCTAGGGAAGAGAAAGATACAGTCAGTAGTGACATGCCCTCCCAGACTTGGTTCCCTCCTGCCACCCTCCCAATCTAGAATTTCCTCGTCTACATGTCCGAGGATTCCCACCATGAAATAGCAAGTCTCCTTTCCCCTGCCTCTGAGAGTCCCCACGGGGCCAAGAAAAGGGTGTGCCTTCTCTGTTTTCTCTCTCCCTTTCACTCTGGTGGTTGAAGATAACAATAGAGCCACAAGATGGAAGGAACCTGGGTCCCTCAGTCACAGCCTGGAGGATGTGCCAATCTTGAGAGCACCAAGTCCAAGGTTGCATGCTGTCACTGTCTCAGTTAGTCACTGCCACAAAAATACCACACTACCAGCCACCCCAGCACTCAATAGCTTAAAGCAGTGACCTCTTATGTTCACAGGACGGCCATGCAGCACAGGGCTCATTCTGGAGCCCAGGCTGAAGAGGCAGTGATTACCTGGACACGTTTTTGTCATGGCAGAGGACAAAAGCTCCCAGAAGTGCAAGTGGAAAAATGTGAGACCTTTTATGACTAACCTGTGCTCAGGATTTACACGGAGTCACTTCCATCCATATTTCATTGGCCAAGGCATGTCACATGGCTGGGCCAAGTGAAAGATCACTGAAGTACACTCTGCACACACCAAACCTCAGCAGGGTGTGCTATTTAAAAGCAGGATGTGCTACCATAAGGACACAAAGAATCAGGATCAGTAAGTCAATCTACTGCTGTCCCTGAGGAATGGAGCAATGGGGGCCAGGGGCTCTGCTGAAGGTCAGAAATGTATATTCACTATAGTTCACCATGAGTGTTTTCTGTGATGTGGCTTCTTTAAATTCCTACAGCAATAATTGAAGGGAAGGGAAGATGAAGTCAGACCCTTAGCACCAATAAAGAACTATTATGTCGATTCCTTGCCTGTGCTCATATTTACTAACCACCTACCAACAGAAATCCATGCTATGGGACTGTCAAACCCATGTACTGGATCAGTTTCAGTCACTCCCCATTAAGACTGAGATGAAGTCTTACCTCACTGAGAATGGAATCTCTAAATCATAGGGCTGAGGTGGCACTTGGAAAACATCTGGTCAACTTTGTGTTTCTTTAAGATGAGGAGACCGGGAAAGAGACCAGCGACCTGACTTTCAAAGGCACTTACACATGGATGTCTGCAGAGTCTTGTTCCTACTCCAGCACTCTATCCCTACGAGTAAGTCTTGCTGGCAGTTATGGACTTGTACAAAGGTGGGTCCCATGACCAGAACTGAGACCATTGGGCTCAAAGTCAAGAATTCAGGTGGGTCACTGTGCATTGGCCTCTTCCCAGGGAAAACCTAATCAAGGTTTCATGAGAACATTATGGCTGTCAGAGACTAAAACCCTAACCTACTATTGCTTTTTGGTTACCTCTCTATATATTAATACTTTTTGGCAAGTTGCCCACAGAGCCCTAGTACCCGTCTCCTGACACCCTCCTCTCTTTTCTGTCTCAACCAGCCACCTCCTCAGAAGAGCTAAGATGGGAAAGTCAATCAATGTGAGCTAAGGTGTCACTGCTGCTCTGAAAAAGCTAACTTTACACACAAAATGACCTGTTCATGAAAACGAAAACTTCTAACACCTCTTCCCTCCCACATTTGAATAATGTTCTCCATCCGTCAATTAGACCTTCTCTGGTCTTAAGTCGTCCACCATAATTATACTCCAAAGATGTGTCTGTTACACTGTATTTTGTGTATTAAGTGCTGCACAGTAGTCTCTCCCATGGCAGAGAGAAGTAAAATTCACATATAAATAGAGCTGAAATGGCCACAGAAACTTGGAGAGAGGGATCTTTCCCACAGGTACTCAGGTCTTGGAGACAGTCTGAAAAGTTGGACAAATCTCTCTCCTTGCCCAAACTGAAGTTGTCTGAGCTCCCTTCTCCACCAGGCCTCTATCTTGGGCACACACACCCCTCCTGTCCTTGACCTCCCCAGCCTGGTTTTAGCAAGAATCCTACTAAGTCATTTTAGAGAAAACCCACCCCAACCACCACCCCTGATATCTGATCAGCCTAGCCTGCCATCTGCAAGGATCCTGTTCAATCGGTTTAAGCAAGAATCTCTCAGCTCTCTTGCCTCCTGTTGGTAAATTCTCGGAGGCTGACACCTTGCTCTGGTCGGTGCTAATTCCCCAACTTGTCTTTGCCGTATTCCGTTGAAGGAGTGTCTCTCACCTCTTGCCATAGCTTTCACACCTATCTCAATAATCCCGAATAAAGTCTTCCTTTTATTTTAACAAGTGTCAGAACAATTTTTTCTCGAAGGCATTTCCAACGAAAACCCGAGCCCAGAATCTGGTTCTGCAACACCCGGGCTTCTCCACGCACCCTGCAGTGCGGCCCACCGAGCCGCAGGCAGGGAGCTGCTCTGACCGTTTCGGGGAGGATCCTCCCCGGCGCTTCCTCCAGGAGAGCCCGAGCCTGGGGTTAAACGGCGACGACACAAACCAGGAAGTTCCTTCCCCTGGACACGCACAAGTTCTGCACACGCGCCCGCTGGCATCCAGCGGGGTCGCCCCAAGACCGCGCCCCGCCCCCCAGCCGGTCTGCTCCGCACGGCGCATTCCTGGCAGCAGAGGAGGGTGCCCGGTGCAGGCCC